AAGGAAATGCTGTCTGCCAAACTTACACAAATAGATCAAGGTTCTCTTTAATCTGAAACAGTCTGGTATTCTCCCTGTCATTGAATAAATCACAGAGAGCCATGAAGTGTCTTAGTGTGATACTTTACACCTTGCAGTAACATCGCCAAAAACGGAATCCACAGTTCCTGCCTGGAGACGGGTTACAATTCCAATGAATTGGAAAACAAATGCTGCTCTGTTCTGCATGGCACTGGTGCATTCACACACAGTCCTACAAGATGCAAGCAGGAGCTGGTGACCCCTGTGAGCAGTTACTGTACCTTGTGCTGGTCAAGGAAGGTATGCAGCTGCTCTCCAGGTCAGTCACATCGGAGTTGTATGGAATGTTCCAACCCCACGGCCCAAAATTCCACCTTTCTTGCGCCAGAGCGTGGAAAAAGCAGAGGTCTCACAGCAATGTCTTGAATGCAGCCTTAAAACCAAATGCAATGCTTGCTAATAATTCATGGCTGGTTAAACCATTTTTTGTTGTTGTTGTTGTTTCCTGCCTGCACAGTGGTGCTGTCTTTGAGTCACTCAAAGCCCAGCATCTCCTGCTCTGGTCACTGACTGACTGTTTGTGAGTCAGAGATAACTTCTTGATGCACAAAGGCTTTCAGGCAGGGTCATTAAATTATCGTGAGCACCAGTTCTAAATATTCTCTTAAACCCTCAAAGGGATTTTACTTTTAAATCTCTATATTCATTATATCTAATTAATATACATGACATGCAACTATGCATACGAGACCATGCACCTATGTGATTTTTTTTACAGCACTCTATTATAAAACATTGTTCAAACAATATTTTTGCTTTTTTTTTTTTCTCCTTATCAAGGTAGATTTATGGCCTTTACACAAAAACATTGTGTAGGAACTTTTGGTTCGGTTTGGTTTGGTTTTCAGTTGAGACAGTTTAGCAAAATACACAACTTCATTAAGTGATCTACATTAATTATAGGAAAATAATGTAAAATCATGTAAAATATGCTTGCTAATGGACATCTAATTATAAAAATAGTGGTGAAGATTTTCCCAATCTTAATTTATTTTTTTTTTTAACTAAAGAGCTGTGTTATTGATGCCGTTACCACAAATTTCAATTGAAGAAGTAGGAGACGAGCAGTAAAAGAAAAATTAAATTTACTGCACTATTGCCAATTAACAAAACTGGTTTCCTTTCAGTGGAAGGCAACTATTTAATTTGTGAGGGTTTTTTTCCCCCAGGAGGGCTCTGCAGAGGGATCTGGATAGACTGGAGAGATGGGCTGACTCCAATGGGATGAAGTTCAACAAGGCCAAGTGCCGGGTCCTGCACTTTGGCCACAACAACCCCCTGCAGCGCTACAGGCTGGGCACAGAGTGGCTGGAGAGCAGCCAGGCAGAAAGGGACCTGGGGGTACTGATCGACAGGAGGCTGAACATGAGCCAGCAGTGTGCCCAGGTGGCCAGGAAGGCCAATGGCATCCTGGCCTGCATCAAGAACAGTGTGGCCAGCAGGAGCAGGGAAGTGATCCTTCCCCTGTACTCTGCGTTGGTGAGGCCACACCTTGAGTATTGTGTTCAGCTCTGGGCCCCTCAGTTCAGGAAGGACATTGAGCTGCTGGAGCGGGTCCAGAGAAGAGCAACGAGGCTGGTGAAGGGACTTGAGCACAAGT